GATCATTGATAAAGATGTTAAATAGGACTGCCCCCAAAGTAGTAGAAATAACTGAAAGTAGAAATAATTTGCACTGAGCTGCAGTGGAGGAGCAGGGTGTGAAGGTGACAGCTTTTTACTCTGCTGTCTGGTGGAACCAGAACTGGAAGTGCCAGCCACTGATGTGGAATGGGCTTTGTATGACATGAAGCTGCTAGGTCTGGCGTAGGCTTTCTGCAGTGTCAGGGATCAGTGACACTGCTCGCTCCTGGCAGCAGTGGAAAAAAGACTTGGCTGGTTTTCCTGGCTCTTACTTGCTGTGATTTTTCATCAGGAGGATTTACCATTCAATCCTATAAGGGTGCCCAGAAGCCATCCCCAATGGAGCTGATGCGTGCTCAGGCTACAAGGATGCCAGAGGATCCACTCACCTTCAAGCCACCCAAAATGGACATTCCAGTCACAGAAGGGAGGAAACAACCTCCACGCTCCCATAATATCAAACCTCGGGATCTGAATGTGCTCACTCCCACCGGGTTCTAGGAAGGATGCTGACGCTTCTGGTGTCTTTAGCAGGCTACAGGGTGTCTTAGGCTCTGCTTCCCTGCCCCAGTGTGCTGCAGTGAAATAGGAAAGTCTCCCTTCCAGCTCTTCATCTCAGAAAAGGAAACAGTTGTGATTGTCCTCCTGAAGCCAGTCTTGGGAAAAACTCCTGCACTAATACTAAACTAATACAAACCGTCCTGTCTGCTGTACTGCATCAGTTTGGTCTGCTAGGCTGCACTAGATTTCCTTCCTGGTACTCTGCACCACAGTAAAACCTTGAACTATGTTTTGTGGGACAGGACTGTGTGTGGTGTGTGAGCAAGCTGGCTTGTCCTGCTCAGTGCTGAAGTAGCCTCTGGAGGACCATGGTTCTGTCTGGCATATACAGAGCACCAGCAGAAAATGATGGAAACAAGCAAGGACTTAAAACTGGACCATTAACTGCCAGAAGGAAGTTGTCTTGGGAATGTCATGGGTCAGATTTAAATATGGCACTCCCATACTCTACAGTGGGACCTTACATAGTTCAACGCCCAGTACTTCTTTGTTCTTGGATTTTTTTTAAAGGAAAAGTAGAGCAGTGATCATTCTAAGAAGTTCTTAATAGAAAGGCATGGAGCAGAACCTAATGGGGATTGACAGGACTGAGGAAGAATTGCTTCTCTTCCAGCTCTTCATGATCCTTCAAAAAGATAGAAATGACCAGAGCTGGTGTGGCTTGCACTAAGTAATCTTCCTTCCTTCTTTATGCAAAACAACACTGCCCTGCCTTTTCCTAGGCAACAGATTTACAGATGTGCTGGTACTCTGGGTGCTGCTTGGTTTTTTCACGTTTTTTCCCCCAGCATCTTGCATGAATCGTGTAGAAGTGTATTAAACACCAGGGGCACTTCTCAAATAGTGTTTTCAGTTTTAGCACCGTTAAATAGGTTTTGCAAGGCTGGGGGTGTACTGAGGGTAGATCAAGGCTAAATGTTCCTCCCTGCTTGATACAGCTATGTGTAATTTTTGGCCAGTCACAACCAGTTTCTGGGACCAGCTAAGCCTGGAAGGAAACCTCCTGGCTAGCATCTAACCCTTAAGCATTATGGACAGCCTTGCTCTGTAATCTTCACCTGTCCTGTGGCAAACAGGTCTCTCCCTTGATCTGATGATTGTGTTGCAGAGCTCCCTCAGCCAGCAGCAGGCTTTCTGTAGTGGTGAGATGGTAGCAGCAGCCTTACATCTGGTACTGGAAGCTTCTGTTGCCAGGCCATTATACAGAGGTTACTTAACAGCTGGTAACCACAGGGCTTTGGGTTTTCTGCCTTCTTAAACCAAACATTCCTCCTGTAGGGTGCGGCAGGGTTGGCTCACTTGGCTGGCTGTTGTCCCCTCTGAAGAAGCACGTTTTGTGGCTTTGCTTCCTCTCAAGCTTCGACAGTGCTGCCAATGATGTGTTGAAAGTCACCCAACCAAGCAGTTTTCACTGTCACCACTCGTTTGCACCTTGGCAATCAGTTTCTCATTTGACATTAATTTATTTGTTGTCTGTATTCATGTCTCTGTTGTGTATGATTTTTTTTTGTTTGTTTGTTACAAGAAAATAAAATCTTTGTGAGTGGAGATCCTTGGTGTGTGTTAGTGCTGGCAAAGCATCTGTGGAAGAAATGTGGGGCTGTCCAGTGAGTGTGGGCTCAAAGCTGTGCCTAATAAGGCTCTGGCAGCACTTGCACTAGGGTAAAATGTTTGTCTAAAACTCGCCTTTGACAGCTGCACTCAGTCCTGCCTTAGGACTTGTGTGGATGAAACTAAATGTGAAATTTGTTTAGCTTTTTTTTTTAGCTCATCAAATGGTGATTCTTTGTGTTTCTGAGATGGCTTCGCTTGCAGCTTGTGTGCTGTTAGCACCTGTACTGTGGAGGTGTGGGAGCCAGGCTGCTGTTTGCCTTGAGGTGCCCAGCTCCCAGTGGTGTTGCCATCTCTGCTTTGCCTTCCTCTGAGGAGTTCTGGCTTGAGCGCTGTTGCACCAGTACTTTGTCAGCTGTGAATGCTGATAGAGCACGTGGTTTTCCTGGGCTGCAGCCGAGATGAACGCTGATGTTCCCTGCCCTCCTAGAGTGTTCAAACTAAAAGTGATGAAACATGTCCTGAAGCACCTAGGTACCCTGGTACGGCTGATCTCAGTTTAGTTTGGAAAGGCTGGGGTTTAAGTTTTGCCTCTTGATAGGATATTCTCATTCTACTTTCTCTATTTTACTCCAACATTATTCCTGGGGATATGACCAACATATCAGAAAATAACATGCATAACTACAGACCTCTTGCTGGAATGTGGCTTATTTTCTAGCCTAATGCTAGAAATTTAATCCAGTTAAAGGACCTAAATGGAAAATGAATGACTGTACCATGCAGGAGGAGCAGATTTCTACAGTGGGGAGCACTTCTGAGTTTGCCATGTTGGGAATGCTACTGGCTACTACTCCCAAAACAGACTTTATAACTTTTCCCTCAATGGTTTATCCTGGATTAGAGGGGCAATGTCCTGTGGACGAGGGGTTTGTTCTCCATCTGGCAGTTGGGAAGGGACTTCCTAAAGATCAAGGAGCAAACCTGTGAGCCCCAGATCAGACACTTCCCAACAGTTCTGGGCTGGTTGAAGCCAGGCTTCTGGAGGCCTTGCTGTGTAGCAGGCACCAGGTCCTCAATGTGTGCAGCACTAGTATCAGGAGTACTGCATTCCTGCCTGTGAGTGTGCTGCTTGGTGCTCCTAGGCTCTGGTCTCTTCATTTGGACCCTGCCAAGGGTTGCCTACCACAGGGGCAGATCAAGGGGTGGTGGGCAGCCTCGGGAGGATTCTCCCACTCCACTCCCAACCCCTGTTCCCTCTGAAATACCTGAGGAAATCATCTCTAGAAATGTCTAATTGCTCTCTGACCTCAGCTGTGACTTGATGATGGTGGGTTTGAATTCAGTATTTATCTTCATCATAGCATGCATGCTTGCCTGTACTGCAGAGACTTCAGTGCATTCTGGAAGAGGCGCAGCCTTTTCAGCTCATGCTGCTATCTAGTCCTCCCTCTTGACATGCTGATCCCCTTGGGCAAAGTCATGTTGATGTTCAAGAGAAATGTTCCTCTCTACTGACTGCCATGGTTTGGGCATCTCTGCACTGTCAATGTCTCACTGCATCCCACATCTGTGGTGTTTTTTATAATTAAAAAAAAATAAAAATCACTTTTCCTGACTATTGAACAGGTATTTTGGTATTTTGTTGGCTGTGCAAGCTCCTGTCAGAGTTTACTGCTGTGTTAGTCTAATGCCATCTCAAGGTACATCTGACAGAGCTCTGCACTTCCTTTGGGCTGGGCTGACAAGAAGATGGAAGAGTCTTAGCAAATATGAAAATAATTTATTTTTCCAAAGTGTACAAAGTGCCTTGTAAAACTGTAGGATGATGCAAGTTGGAAAGAAAATCCTGAGACCATGTAAACCAGACATTTTCCCAGAGAAATGTATAAACAAACCCATGTGATGTGTGACACCTGAGACCACAGCGTGAGAGTCCTGATGGGGTTTTATAGAGGAGACCTGAAGCTTTTTGTGGCTCCTGCTGCAGTGGTTGTCTCCATCAGGTAGCAGTGACAATGAGAAGCAAGTCCCGAAGCATGCACAATTTCTCCATGATCTGCAGGGGAAAAGGCTGCCCCAGGATCTGCTGCATTCGGTTGATGAAGTCCTCTATCTGCAGACGAATGTCCAGGTGGCTGATGTCGTCGCAGTCCTGGCGCTTGGGCTTGGCTTTCTGAATGATCAGGTCCATCCGGTCGTTGAGTGAGCTCCGTAAGTGCTCTGCAAGAGGAAACACTGGTGGGGAGAGGCAACGCACACTGAGCTGCCCAGCCTGGTCAGGGACAGATCACAGCGTGCCACGGGCTGTGCTGCGCTGTGGCGAGGAATGGCTGGGACCTGTGCTGATGCTCTCGTGGTTATCCTTGATTCTTCTCCATCCTTTTCTCCTGTACTAGTGGCAGACTGGACAGCTGTCCAGCTGCAAAGGAGCATCTCCAAAGAGCTTAGCAACGGTGATCATCTAGGGCTTCAGGGAGAATAACTCTGTGCATGTGTGATGTTGGGTTCCTCTGCGTTCCTCCCTGAAAGCCTTAACCCTGGGCTAAAGCACCTGAACCTGGGAAAAGACTTTAGAAATTTTCTGATAAAATTACTTTAGGGAGTGTTTTGTGACTGTGCTGCTCTCCTGGGGTCAGAAACACTGCTCCTTCCATGGCTGCTGTGGGCAGTGCTGCCTGCCTAGTCCAAATTCTGAGTGTGTCCTGGCCTTACCATCCCTTTGACTTCTGCTTTTCCTCCTAAACCACCCTATTCTTGCACCCACTTTGTGTGTAACTTAAACAGTAGTGGGTACAAAAGTGGGTGCACTTCCCAGTTCTGGGATTGATCCTTTAGGAAGCAAGCTATTTCTTAGGGGCTAAACTTGGCAAGGCAGGTTGGGTGCTTTGCTTGATGCAGCATCACTTCTTTGCTCTGACTGCTGGGAATAGCTACGAGCATAGACAGAGGCACAAAGACTCCATGGTCTTGAGTTCAAGAGCGATGAGGTGGAGGAAGTGTACTTTGGCTGTTCTACCACAGTCTTTTTGATGTATACTAACGCCAGAACAGGCTGCTTACCCCGTATTACATTTTGGTAACTCATGAGCAGCAAACTCAAGTACTGCAGCATTTCATCCCATCTTTGCCATGTTGCTGTTTCATCCTATGACAGGAGACAGTACTTGGTTATTGGAGGTGGTTTTCTCAGGAGAAAACAAGGCAAAGGACAGGTTGCACTGGATACCTGATATTGCAGCAGCACGGAGGAGTGGCTCAGGAAATACAGGATCTTGGCCAGAGACAAGGGCAAGGTCGTAGGCACATCACAACTATGCTGGAACAGCAGCTCTAGCAGTTTGCAGCGTAGAAGCTGGCTGTCCATGGTGTTTAAGAAAGCTTCCCTGGAAGACAAAAAGGAATTACTTTGGGGGAGACAGCACAGCATGACCAGGGACAACAGCTCCAGCACATTCCTGATGTCCTGCTGGTGCTGCTCTGGTGCAAGCACTGCCCAGCAGTGCAGTGAAAGGAAAACCACCAGATACGATAGAGAGACAGTTATGCATCTCAGACATGGGCATGTTTATGTCCTTAGGTCTGACCCGTGGCAGCTTGAGGTTGGTATGGTCTGTGAAGCAAGCTTAGCTGCTTTGCTTCACCCTGCCATCACCCTGTGCGGAAGTTACCCATTCCTGCTGACTTGCAGGGAGCACAGCCAAGCAAGTGTGAAGTGGGGTCAGCAGCCAGCTGGATCTGGAAGATCTGTCCTGGGAGCAGTGACAGCTTGGTTAGAGCCAGTTTGGTGTGTTCAGACTCAGTGTGAGCTCAGAGAGCGTTCTAAAAGGGTCGGAAAGGGCCAACTGCTGGGGCTGGCAAACGTGGGTTTGAAATGCCTGTGGTCTCGTGTCTATGCTAGAGCCACTCAGGCCCTTGTGCTTTGGCTTCAGATACTGCATTTCTTACAGAAGCAAACAAAAGCATGTCAAGGCATAGGAGTAGGAACTGCATTATATTTCTGAGGAGCTACCCAGTTGCCCCTGGGGATCAGTGATGTACTTGCCAGTACCTGATTATGCTGGTGCAGATTGCTGCTTTTTAGACCCTCTTTACAGTTTTGAGGTCCTGCAACTTTAACAAGTGGGAGAATCAACAGTTCTCAGCAACACAACAGCTGGGAGATGCATTCACTGGTGATGTTGTATCTCCATGGGAGATACAGCCATGCTCTTGCTGACTGGGTCATAAATGGGCCTGTATTTCTATATCCTCTGAGGTACTTTATGCATCCAAACTTGGATGTAAATCAGGAATAAGACTATTGCTCACACAGGCAGATGCTGCCTTGCACGTGTTTGTCTCACCTTTGGCTCCTCAGAGGAATATTCAGTATAAATGGGAATATCACATCTGCGATCTTACAGGAGCTGCAGTTGGGAGATTTGTCCACTTCCACTGCGATGGACAACATCCGCTGGAGCAGGAGCATCACCCTAGGTCAGAGAGACAGTCAACACTTGGAGACACCACCCCTCAGCTTGCAAAGTAAAGCGGTGGGGATGGCACCTAGTTCAGCCTCATGCCTTGCAGTGAGATGTAGGGGAATGTGGCAGGCTGGATTTGGTGTCTCCTGGTGGTTTTTCAATCTGATGCTCTTGGAAGCAGAGCTAATCCCCAGATGGGCCTTTGGGAGGTCTTAGTGGCTGTACTGAGTGTTGGTGGAGCAGGACAGGGCAGTCCTGGGCCAAGAGCTCCAGCCTTGTGCTATGTGCAAAAGCAGGACTCTCACTGAGCAGTTTCCTACCAGGTGAGGAAGTTGGTTGCTCACCAAGTGTGTCCACCTCAAAGGAGAACCAGGAAAATGGGTCACAGCTACAGCCTGGCTTCCCTGACCTGATGTTGACCCCATGATGCTGAGCAAGGAGCCAGGACTTCTAGGGCTTACTTCTGGGCAAAGCAGGCTGGTGGAACCACCTCTGCCTGGTCGGTGCTGGCCAGCCGTGGTGCAGAGGAGCTGCGCTCGGCCTGTGCTTCTGCTGAAGAGGAAGTCGTTTCTTGTAGCTGCTCCTGGGGCTGGGAGAACCCGACTCCTGTAACTGCTGCGACCAACCATTCGACCACCTCCCTGGGACAGAAACAGGTATGAATGGGCCTGGCTTTGCTGCATTCTAACCTCTAGATCCACTTGGAGTTCAAGGAAAGACCCCAAGAATGACAAATATGTCCAACCTGCTTGGGCAGGCCAGGGAGTAGCGCTGTTGAACAGCGGATTTATACGCTTGTCAACAGGACTGCCTCCTTCTCAGTCCTGTCCTGAGCAATGCAAATCTCACCTTGTTCCTGGGAAAAGCCTGCTAGATTGTGACAGGAAATGCCTTGCACCATCTCTGGTGGCTTGCTGTTGTAAACCTGCTCCTGTGCTTTATACTTGGGCCCTATGTGTCTACCTGAGCTTGTTTCCTGGAAAATCTGACCTGGAGTCTCCACAAGTGTTCCCTGAGCCCCTGCCTCTCAGCATCTGGTTAGAGTACAGGGTAGGAGGCAGCGTCCCTTACTTGACATTGTTGAAGCACGTGTCACACGAAAGCACTTTCTTGGCAATCGACTTCTGCAGCAGGCGCAACCTCAGATTCTGCTGGAAGTCGTCATCCAGGGTCTGCACCACGTACTGCAGGAAGAAGAGCCAGCCAGGGGGCTTCTCCTGAGGGCATATGGAGATGGTATGAGCCTGGTGGAGCCACAGGGAATTTGGCTGTTTCAGGAATGAGTTGGTGTTACATGACTGAGTAGCAGCTCCAGGAGGAGATGCCTGGCTCAGGCAATACCCTAGGGATGTTGCTGGGCCTGTTGTACCATTGCACTGGGGCTGTGACCCACAGCAGCTTTGCAGCCTGCCTACAGCTGTGCAGCAGGACAGGGAGAACTGTGGATAAATGCAGGGTACCCAACTGGTACTTGCTGCCTTCAGCAGCTGCAATAAGACTTCATGTTGGACTGGCCCATTCTGCAGCAGAGCATGGCCATGAGGCCCTGGGGCAACGCTTACCCTCAGGCACCATGTACTGGATGATCCCTGCCCAATGTGACACACATGGTGCCAAGTACCTCGTCTTCCATGATGTATTTCAGCAGCATCCAGTCCCATCCCACTGTGGTGGCGTTGGCTGGATGGAGCCTGCAAGGACAGCACTGTCTGTTTGTGCTGAGCTACCCAAAGTCTACTTGGAGGACCCTCCCCTTCCCGGCCTGCCTTGCTAAGGGGCCTGCCCTGCCTTCTCTCCAGCTTTGCCTTCTCCCCTGACCACATTAATTTTTTGAAAGCACCTGACTGGGGCTGTACTCCAGAGAGCATTGTCACTCCTGGGCCTGTGGCCACACAAAACATTGTACCTCTCTGCAGGAACCCTGAGGGCAGTGGGGGAACCACTCCAGCCCATGGCTCCTGCTGCAGCCCAGGGAAAGCATTTCTGCCATGACACAGTAGTGAAGATCTCTTCAGGAGCTGCAAACACACTGCTCTGTCCTAGAGAGGTCCCTGGTGTCACTGGCTGTCCCTACACCATGCTAGCTTGCTACAAAAAGATTAAAGCACATTCATTATATAGTCAGAGTTGCTTTCCCTCGTGTCTCAGCATCCTCTGCCTCTCTCCCCCTTCCGTCCTCCATCCACTTGGGGGTTTAGTGGCTGCTGTCTGGGCCAGCAATGGTCCTGACCCACCCTCAGACAGCCCAAGGTGTGCCTGTGCTGGTAACAGGAGGCAGGGCGATCATCCTGGTTTATAGGGGAAATCACTCCCTGCTCCATGGGCAATAACCTTTATGCTGTGCAGGACTGTGGGAACACCTAGCCAGCCCCAGGGTCCCGTAGCAAAGAGAACACGTACATTTGGATCTTCATCAGCAGCATGTAGGTGTCCCTCAGGATCTCCCCTCGGTGGGGGATCAACAGGATCTGTCTGATCAGGTGGGAGATGATTTCTTTGGGAGGACAGTGCTGGCAGGAGACAAACTCGCTCAGGAAATGCAAGGTGCCCTCCAGGTAGTTTTCCTCCATGGTGGTGCGCACCATGCTCAGCTTCCCGCTGGGGATGAGCTCAGGTTTCTGCTGTGTACAAGGCAAGGCAATGGGTGAAAGCCAGCTCCCCCCAACACAGAGGAACCCAGCTGTGATGTGGGGCCCACCGTAAAGGGAGCTGCAATAACCAGAGATCCCAACTGCCTGGCAAAGCTTTCCCAAAAGGGGAAGTGGAGCAGGGGCAGCCCCTGCTCCATCCTCTACCACAGTCTACTGACTGCGCTTGGCAGCAGCTGCTCTGAACCCCGTTTACCTGCTGTGTTTCCCTGCTGGGTGCTACGCCTTGGAGGAAGAGGTGCTGGACTCCGCTCCTCCTGAAATAGTGCAGTTTGTTCAACCAGGCCTTGCTGTCAGCCTTGGTCTTGGCTGGGGTCACTTGCTGGATTGCTTCAAGTGGTGGGAAGTCACCTGCTTCCAGCAAAGGCCCCTGGGCCTTCTCAGGGACTGTGGGGATGGCTGGGGCAGGGCTCAGCACTGGGGGCAGCTCCCTTTGCTGGCAGAGGTGGGGAGTCTCTTCCTCTGGGCCACTGTCCCTCCAGCTGCTACTGTTGCTGTCCACGCTGGAGGGGGACGGGGACAGCAGGTCTGAGTCCAGCTGCATGCTGGCCAGGGAGCCCAAGTCACTGTTAAAAGTAGTGGTGCTGCAGTTCTGCTCCGAGCTGCAGGAGCCATGGCGGCTGGAGGCGGGAGAGGAGCAGCTGCAGTTCTTTGTGCTTTCTGCCGTGTCTGCGGTGACACTGGGCTCTGCGGCAGCACTGTGCCAGGACGTTACAGGAGTTGTCCTTGCCATCACCTCTGTTTCTTGTTTTGTGGTGAAGCAGAGGTGGGGATGGGACGTGTGTGCTGCTGGGGCTGTAGGTGCCTGCCCGGGGTCCTGGTCAGCCCCAGTGGCAGTGTGGGGAGGGCTGTGGGGAGGGCTGCACGAGTCCTCTGTGAGGTCGATGATGGTGAGGCTGCTACACGGTGCTGGGTCTGTACTCATGTCCTCGCAGGTCAGATCGATGATCTCCTGTGGGGACAGAGGGGCCAGTGCTGTAAGTGACAGCGGTACCTGGATGCCTTAGTCCTCCCCTACCAAGGGCCTCTGCTATGGTGGCCCTGTCGCCCCAGCCCAAGGGTCTCATTGGCACCAGCCCAAGAAACAAGGGGCAAAGACCACCCTGCCTGGCCGAGGGGAAGCGGCAGACTGCAGGGTAGCGTCAGCTTCCTCCAGCAGCATGGCCACTCCTGCCAGGCTCCTTACAGCAAACGGCTGGGTCCTCTGTTCCAAACATCTCTGCCTGGGCCCAGAGCGGGCCTGGCTGCCAGCTCAGCTCTCTTCCGGCAGGATGAAAGTGCCTGGGGAGGGCCAGGGGAGCACAGAAAGTGCTCCCATCCTCAGGGGCTCTGGCCTGGCGCTGGCAGGAGCGGCGCAGGATCCAAACCTCGGCACCCCCTCTGTGGCACGACCTCACCTGCTACATGGCTAATGCAAGCAGCGGGGAACAGAGCTACCTTCACATCCACGGCACCGAGCCAGAGCTACAGCAGCCCTGAGGCTCTGGGGGCTCCCATCCAGGACTCGCCAGGGGATGCAGCACCCGGAGCTCCAGGAACAATGCGCCTGTCCGAGGGGCAGCAGGAGCAGGCAGGGGAAGGCAGCTGTGTCCACACCACCGGCAGTCAGGACACAGCACTTCACAGGATCTCGATGTGTCCAGGAGGGGTCAGAGCCTGTTTGCTCTTAGAGAAAGAACCCTCAGCGTCTCAAAGTAGGAACACGTTTTGTAGACAGTTTAAATCAGCTTTTTTGCCCTGACTCTGACCTGCTGTCTTTCTCAAGAAGGAGCTGCATGTAGCCTGGAGAGGTGGCAAAACCCAGCAGGCCTCACATGCTCCAGGAAACCGTTGGTGCCAAGGAGGGACAGAAACTGCCCTGGCACCAGCCCTGCCACAACAGCCGCCGTGGAACTGCCAGTGTTTGAAGGCTGCATTGGAACTGGCACTAACGGCAACTGGTGTGGGGGGGAACACAGACCTTTCCTCCTGCCCAGGGCTGAGCCTCACCGGTGCCCTCAGGTGGCCCAGGTGAGAGGGTTGGCAGCCACCTCACCATAGCCAGACATTAGAGCCCCGCGGGGGACTGAGCCCTGGAAGGCTGGGTCACCGTCGAGGTGCAGCTGAGGGGACCAAGATGCTCCATGGCAGGGGCCGGAGTCTTCCTGGGGAAGTGCGGCCAAGGGGGCAGGGATCCCCATAGGAGACACACTTGGGGACCAGGCCTCTGCTGGTGGGAGGTGGCCAAGGGGACCTGAGCCCTCCTGGGGGAGGTTGGGGGGTCCTAGGGGCATGTGGCTGGGGTCAGGATCGTCTTGCGAACGGCCTGACTGAGGGGACGCGGTTCCCCGGGAACACCGCCAAGGATTCCG